TTATCATCTGCATAAAGGTGGGCATAAGCTATACACACCTAAATATTAGTCCTGGGATCTGTAGCAAAGCTATTATACAATAACAGAAGGACCTGAGGATCCTGGTCCTTGGCCATGGGGATCTTAAAGTACATTAAAAAGAGCATGGCAAGCAGGTTGAGGGGGGTCTTGAATATCTCCACAGAAGGAGACTCCACAACCTCTCTGGGCAGTCTGTTCCAGTACTCTGTTGCCCTTATCATAAAGAAATTCTTCTGCATGTTAGTATGGAACTTCGTGTGTTAAAGTTTACTTGTCCTATTGCTACATACCACCGAGAAGAACCTAGCTTCATCCATTTGCCTCCCAGCTCCCTCTAGATATTTATAAACATTTATCAGATCCCCTCTTAGTCTTATTTTCCCCACACTGAACAAACACAGGCTAATCAGCTTTCCTTATACAAGAGATTCTTCAGGCCCTTTATCATCTCTCTGACCCTATGCTGGACTCTTTCTAGGAGATGCCTGTCTTTTTTGAACTGGGGAGCCCAGAACTGGACACAGTAGGCTCAATGTGGCCTCAGCAGGGTAGGGAGAGGCCATCCAATCCAACCTCTTGCTCAGTGCCTGAGAGAACATCAAACCCAACCTCCTGCTCAAAGCTACAAAAAACTGCAATACTCCCAAAGGCATCTCTCCTCTAGGCTGGTCTTCTGCCTCTCCGTGCAAGTTCTCCAGCCTCCACCATCCTGGTTGCCTCTCCAAATCTCTTCCAGCCTGAGCTCTTCCATCATTCTTTAGGAAATCTAATGCCAGTAAATAGTTTTTCTGAACATCAACATAATGCATGGCAGCAATCACAAACAGTGAGCTGTAAGGGCTCACTTAAAGCTATCAGCATGTCCCTTACAAGATGGGCCCTAAACTAGATACAGATTTCCAGTTGAGGTCTAATAAATTATTAGGAGAACCCTTTATTTGTTGGCTATACTGCACTGATGATTTATACAACTGTTTATACACCCTGGCCTCCTGTATATTTCTTTTCACTTGTCAGGACTGAAAAGTTCTGATATTATTATCTCTCATCACTGTGAGATTCTTCTGCATCTTACCAGTCAAGTTTAATTCTTTTAAGATGATCCCCACAGTGAACTATGCCATCTCAGTCTCAACCCATTTCTCCAGATTGTTTTTAAGTACAGCAGTGCAGTATGATTCAAGTACTATGACAGTCTGACAGCAGAATTTATCCTGTTTCTCAGTTTCGTAACAGAAGCAGCCATGCCTTCAACCAAAGAGAATGATTAGCCCCAGCCTCTCCCCATCCCTCCAGCAAAACCAGAAAATACAAAACAGTTCATAAGGGATGTGGAAATACCATATTTCTCTGTCCTGGTATACTCACAGTTTTATCCATAGAAAGAACTATTCAAAATATTTGCTGTTTTCTCTGTTCCTATTACTGTGTTTTTGTTTCAAAGTGGGCTTAGCCAGAAACAGAGAATGCTGATAGGCAGCACCACTGTAGCCACAAAGAAACCTACAACCACTAGCACTACAGACAGCAGAGAGCATGTGAGGATGGGGTCTTCAGCACTGAATTTACAGGGACTGGGTTACAGCAGCAATGCAAGCACCTGAGCAACGAGGGCACGAATAAAAGGAGCATCTTGTCTGTCTGGGCTCCTGAACAGCATAGAGATCAGGTGCACAAAGTTCACCTAATCACCGGGGTCCATCTGTAGAGCAGACATATGCGGCTGTAACAGATACTGCCTTTTATGTGAAGGTGAGAAAAATTCTCAAATGGGGGACTCAAATGAACTGAAGCTCGTTGGGCTGTCACCACCACCGCTTCAGAAGTCTCCATTATCTCTTTTGCTTCTGTTTCTCAAATTTCCCTTGAAAGCTTGATTCTGGCTTTGACATGGAGATGCTAGAATGAAAATGGAAATGTGTAATGCTTAGAGGAGGAGGTCACTTGAATTCTTTCAGGAACTAAATGAGACAAAAGGAAACTGTAAATTTACTTCACTATGAGATGAAGAGCACCTCTTGACCGGGACTTTGTTTCCCTCCTGAGGACCAGGCTCCCTTCCAGACGGTCTGCTGGCACTGAGTGCTCAGGGTGTGAGGAGGACAGGGTGAGGTGGGGGGGCTCAGCGCTGGGGCGTCTGCATCCCTCCTGGGACAGAGGCTTGCTCAGCATTTCAGTTCTTGCTGCAGTATTTTCTGAGACTGTCAATGTCAGATGCCCAGACTGCCTTTTTAGCCCGTAAAAATGGGTTTTAGTGGCTGCCTGCACTTTGGAAACAAGGTCCAAGAGTCCATGGCTTTTCATGGCCACCTTTTCTCTTACTTTATTGCACAATGCCAACACTACGTCTACTGAGCCTCATATTCAGTACAGTAACATAGCGCATTTGGGAAGACCTTGGGTTTTCCTCTAAGACAACACCCAGTGCTGCCCAAGGGAACTGCTTAAAGCTCTTGTGGTAAGAGGAGCTCCAGTTTCAGGAAAACAGTGTGGTTACATGTACCAACAAATGTCAGCTGGTTCTTCACATCTTGACTTCCCTAAGTCTCCTCCATCTAAAATGAACTAGATCAAATCCCTCACATTCATGCATTCAGTGAGTTACCTGTGCTGGTGGAGGAGGGCTCAGTCCCTATTCTGTCATCCTTTATTACAGGAAAGTGGCCTATGCATTGCCTGTGTGCTGCCTCCAGAACCAGAATGTTTTTTCTGCCATTCTGTGGGCTTGTCTCTGATGCAAAAATCCTCCTTTTCTGAAATTTTGATCTTGGGCTTGCCTTATCTTTTGAGATCTCAGACATTGGTATTTTACTTGCTGTTTTCAGTCTTGCAGTCCTATGTGTCCTATTCCCCAATCTGTTCTTTCCCCACTTATTTTCCTTCTTCATTTACCACCTTTCTGGACCAGAATCTCAGAATGCATTCTCCTTTACTCTCTTCAAGACACAATAATTTATTGTTGTACATTTTCCACTTCTTCCAGAATTGACTCAGCTTATATGTAACCTTTCCATAATCTATAATAAACATTTCTTCCTGTGCCCACATGAAAGTTACATTACCCCAATTTTTTTCTGTCTACTCATCATTGTCAAATTTTCCTCAGGTCATTTTATGGGGATGATGGTATATAAAACATTGATTGCATGGTATCCTAGGAAACTGGCTGTTTTTAGTGTTATCAGTGGCATTGTTAGAATGAACAATATTATAAGGAGGCTTGATGTGAATTTCAGAAGACAAGTTACAGATCTATTCACATCAAAGAGAGACAGTGAGACTTGTAACATGGGGAGGGAATACATGACCACATCCTAAGAGTCTCATAAAAGATTCCTCTTTAGCCTTATGTAATCTGAAATAGTAATAGGTCCATATAACACAAACCTTTGTGTCTCTCCCATGTGCTAATGAAAAATTTCATGTGTCTCTTACCACCTTTTACATTTAAGCAGTAGAGTGAATGTTTCCAGAACCAAACTTTTCCACTTTTTTTTTTTCTGTTGTCTTGAAATCATTGCATACCCCAGGAAATAAAATCCTCATGATAATCACCACACTGAATACCATAAAGAGAAAATAATACATGGCTTAAAACGGGCAGTGTTGCAAACTTACAGTTCCAAAACTACGACACCCAGTTCCCAAGACAGGAACTGAAAATGTGTAATTCTAAAGCTGTGATTTGTACAACTGCAGAGAAATCTGCCTTGAGGAAGAACAAGGAAGTGGTGTGTGAACTTCAGCTGAAAATCTTAATTACGATGAGCTCAAAAGCAAATTTGACACTATTCTCTGCCAGCACCAGATAGTTGGATCTCACCTCATCTCCACACAAAGCCCTGCAACACAGAGCCCTCTGGGATCCCTTCAAAACTGTAAAGGAATGAGGTTCTTCTCTGCGCTGTGAAAATCCTGTTTTATACCAACTCTGGGGACACAGTTCCAGTGAGACCCAGCCCTGTGGCTCCTGCTCCATGAGGGGCTGCATAGCAGGGGCCTCCAAGCTCTGAGCCAGCCCTGTCTGCAGGTTGCTGAGCTGCCAGGTGAACAGCCTGCAGGACAGCAGGAATACTCCTCCATCAGCTGTTTTCTGAGTTTTTCTGTCTTGATTTATTACTCTTTTTGCTGCATGAGGCCCAGAGCCTCAGTCAGGAACGAGAAGTCCACACAGCGCAAATACAAATAAATGCTAAGAGCAGCATGGAAACATCACACGAGTGTACTCATGAAAGCAAACAACTTATCCTTTCTATTTTTAAGAAGACTGCAATTTTTCAGCCTGATTCATGATTTTTTTTTTTTTTTTTTTTTGTGAGAGGCTGAATTATTTGGGAAGAAGACAGTCATACTTGTCTATGTCTAGTGTTGGGCAGCCAATAGCTGTGCTCTGAAACACCCATGGAGAAACCTTTCTTCTTTGACAGTGTAGGAAATTTGGCTGGTTAAAGTGCCCTGATTCATCCTGCAATTAAATGCCTTGAACAGGATTGCAAAAATGCATGTGAAGTTGCGATATTTATCTATGACAAAGCTGGAACGATCATGGGTCTAAAGAGCCTCTGTGCTTTAAGAAACTGTGGTCTTATGGGGCTGGTGTGTAAGCCCATCAGAAAGGTACGTATGCACAGCTAGAAAACAGATATCTGACTTTGTATCCTGACTAAAGGGAATGGCACTAAAAGCCTTCCCAGAAGTTACTGTGATTTGGTGGCATATGAAAGCACAAGCAAGGAAGACACAAGAGGTACAAGGAGGCATTATGTGAGGAGCAGCTGAGGTGCCTGGCTGCGCTCAGCCCAGAGCAGAGGAGCTGAGGGGAGGCCTGATGGCGGCTGCAGCTCCTCACAGGGAGCGGAGGGCAGCGCTGAGCTCTGCTCTGTGTGACAGCGACAGGGCTGAGGGAACGGCATGGAGCTGTGTGAGGGGAGGGCAGCTGGGCTCAGGGAATGGTTCTGCACCAGAGGGCGGTGGGCACGGAACGGGCTGCACAGGGCTGTGGGTACGGCCCTGAGTGCTGGAGTTCAAGGAGCATCTGGACACTGCTCACAGACACTGGGTTTGGATTTTGGATGGTGCTGAGTGAAGCCAGGAATTGGATTCATTGTTTCCTGTAGGTCACTTCCAGCTCAGGAGATTGCACGATTTTATGGCTAGCTTCAGTAGAGAGCAGCTTGCATGGAAATCAAGAAGCTTTTGCTTTCAGAGAAAAGATGATAACATCGACATGAAACATCTGAAAGTTTTGCGATCCACTGTAGTGGAAAAATACTATTTTTATTATTTGATATTATTCTTTAACTGATTTATGACCTGTTACCACAGTGATTTCTGAGGCTATTTACTTTTCATGCAATACTTCTCAATGACAATGCAGGTTTCTTTAAAGCCAGTATTAGTCATTAGCTGGAAGGACAGCATCAATGCGAACCAAATGAATGAGTTTCCTTATATTTGGAGTTTTTTTGTTCCATCAGCATGCACACTCTGGAAATGTATTGAAAAAAATCAGCTATGTATATGAGCTAGGTTTGTGTTTAGGAACGAATGCATTGTAGAAAAAAAAAAAGCAAAAGCATTCTTTATAGTAAAGTATCTTGTCTTTTGGGGGTCTGTGTTGCTAATGAAGGTGGATGGGTTTGCTCTGGTGCAGTAGAACTACTGCTCACGCACAAAGTAGCTTTTGGAGAAACAAGAGCTGGAGAGGCTAGAACTCTCGCCCTTGCTATCCCATGTTTCTTAGAAGGTATGGAATGCATGCTGTGTCCCATTTTGTAGTTTTGTCCATCCTCCTGTAAGAACTGTGCTCCTCATCCTCATCCAGATAGGTTATCCTGATCTCAGTCTGAGGGTCAGAGCCTTCACCTCTGAGATGACATAGGATAGAAATGTTTCCAGGTAAAATGTGAAAGGTTTTTATAGAGAGTAGCTTTAGTCTTTCTTTGTAGGGAATGTCTGTATGAAATGCTTCCTTTCCACAGAAAATGTATGCGGGGATTTGTTTTAATAAAAAGCAAATACTAGAAAATTTTTCCTAATGCTTCCCTGCAGCACTGATCTGCAGCCAGACTTTACTCCCCACAATGTATCACATAGATGTTTCCCCATGATGTGTGACCTGCTGTTGTAAATGTATTTTCTGACCAGCTCTCACTCCATTTTTTTCAAAACAGTCCCTGTTCCAAATTCACATAAGCTGAAACCAAATGGAACTATGTAGGCAGATTGCAGCGCTCTGAATCCAAAGCATAAAAATCACCTCACTTATTTCCCCTGGCTCCCCAAATCCCTGCTGCACTTCCCTTCCCAAAGCAGAAGCAGGGAATCTCACACCAAGTAGCTATTATTCACCTTTCCCCTTTCTCACTGATATCAGGAAACACGGCAGCCCGCAGACTTGCCTGTCCCATGTCCCATGCCATCTCCATGTCCATGGAAGTGCACAATGAAGGCAGGGTGAGTCTGGCAGCTCCACAACAGTTGTTATCTGTGAATGCTCAGGTGGGACAAGCAGGACTCATTGCAGCAGGCAGTAGTGTCAACACAATCACACCACTTTTTGGCTTTTCTTCCTGTTCCAGCATCAGGATGGATCTCAGCAGGAGGCCTCCACGATAGTTCTCCGTCGTGGATACATTTTTCTCGTGCTGATTTTCCCTGTTCCCTCTGGACAGTTTGGTAGATGCTGTTCCTGACATTGTTGCTGTAAGACACCTCAAATCCATCAGTTAACCTGTGAAATGTAAGAGCTGAATATACTTTTTAAAGCTCAATATATCTTGTATTAAAGGACACAGAGAAGAGCTTGTCAGGGAAAAAAGAGAGACTTAATATTAAGTTTAAAAGAGACAACTGAATGTTGTTTCTATGAATTGTACACTGTTTAATCTACTTTAAGCGACAGGAAATAAGCATCTCCCCTGTGTCTGATTATACCCTTATTAATGCTGCTGCATTGCTGGAGTGAGAGGCAAGGCAGGTTTGGCAGGGATGAGCCCTTGGCTGCCTGCCCCCAGACCATGGGATTGCAGGAGGCACTACACCGACTGCCTCCACCAGCTCCATCCTTCCCATTACCACGAGCAGCCCTTCAGGCTCCATGCTCACCGTCAGTCACTATGGGAGCTTTGACAAGGCCCAGGCTTTGCTCCAAAAGAGACAGAGGTGGTAACGTCACACCTACAGGTCAGAAGATAAAGGCAGGTAAAACACCCTGCTTGCAGAAGCAAAAAAAGGAGATCAAATCAGCTCCCATGAAAGGGTAACTCATTGACTGAGCTCCAATGAGAGGATGTCATTGTCCTCCTTTTAGCAAGCCCCTCCTCTTTTTTCCAACACATACTAATAAAAGATATTCAAGCACAAAACAAAGTAAATCCAAATGAAAAATTCAGGCTGCCCGCTGAATGGCTGATTTAATGAAACTCATGCTTTGCAAAGTTATCTTTTAATCTTTTACTGAGGTCAAATGAAAAAAAAAAAAATCATTATACACAGCTAAGACAAAATTTGCTGTTGAACATCTTTTAACTACACAGGAGTACAACTGTTCTTCTGACTGGTGATTTTAAGAGAACTTGGAACAATAAATTAGAAAATGTCAGGTTTCAATTAGATGGATTAATGAAGGGGATAGTGGCAACTTGTGGGAGGGAAAAATAAACCATGAAAAGCAAAAACACGGGTAATACAAAACATATGTAAATGAGGATCTAAGGAACCTCTTTAGCGTACTTAGCATGAAACTATTAACACTTCGATAGGCAGAAAAGGCAGCTTTGAGGCATCCCAGCTGGAGTGAGCCAGATGCGGACACATGGACTTTTACATACTGAGACATAGGCTGCTATAGAAACTTTCCCTCTGGTTGTGAACAAAGGGAAACACATGTTCAGGTCATTTAGCCAAGGGGCATTGGACAACAAGGGTGGCTGATGTTCTCATGTACCTGTGGGCAGCAGGATACCACAGCAGCTCAGCAGAAATGAATGCACCCAACCAGAACCTGCAAACTGACAGCTCCAATACTAACATCAGGGGACTTGGCTTTTGCAGTTTTCCTTCTTTTAGTTCATGTTTTTGCAATGATCTGCCACAAACAGATAATTTAGAGTACATTGTATGAGTTGAGTGTTTTCTCATATTTATTGCTAGCCTCCAGTTTTACGTAACGTCTTTCCCTTTTCAGATTCATGCCCATAGATCCAAATCTTCCTTCCAATAAAAGCTGTGGAAATTTTGCCACTGACTTTTCTCAATTTCCAGCACTTTTCCCATACTTCTGGTTTTACATTCAGCTGAGTCTTAAATCCTCAAACTTCTCTGTATAAGACCAACACCAGGAAGGAATGAGGACATTCAGTTTTCAGCTTAGGCAAGACAACTGCTGAGCCATTAGAAACTCATGTGGGTTTATAAGGCCCCTAGGCACTAGAGAAAGGTTGACGTGCTATCTTATGCAGAAATGGAAAATATGGGGAACAACCAATGAGTTTAACCTTGGCAAGATACTGCAACAAAGTATTAAGCAACTGCTTCATAGCAAATGGGAATAACTCTCTGATAAAAAGAACTGGTTAACTTGGATTTATGAAGAACAAAGAATGTCAAACCACAGTCTCTTCCACTGAGAGGGAAAATGTTTTACTGTCTGGGAAGAATTCATCAGTTCAATTTTGAGTTTAATAATGTGTTTTCTGACATTTCCCTTGCTGCGGACATAAGTTTTAAACGAAAATTCCCCCAAATGGGCATGCAGCTGGCTGTAAAACATGCAGTCAAGTAATAACATTCAGGGCATCAGTCTCACGAAACACACTTTTTAGAGCACTGCAGGTATCTACTGGGCTTTCATTACTAGATTTCTAGCCATCCAGGTCTGAAATTTGAGGTGACAAATGGCACTTTTGCTATTAGAGGTGCGCATGAAGATACCTACACCAGCCTCACACAAGCAGAGCTGTTAGTTCAGGCATGGGAAGGTTTACTGGCACAGGCATGCAGAGAGTTATGGATGCCTCATCACTGGAGACATTCAAGGCTGGATTGGATGGGGCACTGGGCAGCCTGATCTGTTCAGTGGCAGTCCTGTCCATGACAGGGGGTTAGAACTGGATGGTCTCTAAGTTCCCTTGCAAGCTAAGCCATTATACGATTCTGTGATTCTATGATTCTGGGATAAGGTTTCACCACACAGATTGCAAGTTGTTGTGTTGAACCCTTCATCTGTGCCTTAGAACTGCTGCGATGCATCCATGCTGGGCTTTGAGTAGAGCTGTCACCAGGCTGCATGTTCCAGGTAACACAGGTGGCCCTCAGGGCAGGCATTGCCAGCCTACAGAGAGCACACTGCATCTGTCTATATTCCCAAGACAGAGGAGCTGGTCATAAAGAAGTCTGTAAGGGAGTGTAATGTAGAACTATATCTCCCAAGTCACAGGTTATTGCTCACCTGTAGGGGAAAAAGTACATTGTTTTGTATACTTGGAAAAAGGATGAAAAACAAAGGGAGGGAGGAAGGAAAGGAAGTGGGAAGGAAGGGGGAAGGGGTGGGAGGGAGGGAGAAAGGAAGGAAGAATGGAAGGAAGGGAGGGAGAGAGGAAGGGAGGAAAGCAGGAAGGGAGGAAGGAGGAAGTAGGGATGTTTGTTATAAAATATTTTACTGAAAGCTCATTGTTTGATGCTGTAAGAAAAGTTATGTTTTCCAAGCGGTGAAACTGTCAGCCATGCTTTCTATATATCTAGGACTAGGTAGCCAACAGATCTCTACAGGCAAAATACAGACATGAATTTGGTCTCACAAGGATCAAAATCGGAATTATAAGCAGAACTCCTAAGCTAATGGCCGATAACACATCTTGTAAATCATTATGTTGAACAAAAAGCCTTCTGAGATTTCTTTTCAGCATACAGCTGATCATCAAATCTCTTTTAGGTCTTTGAAAGTTATTTTGAAATTAAATCAATACTTAGCTCTGCTGCTGTCCTTCATTGAACGCATCCAAAAGACAGAACCCTTTTCTCAAAGGGAATCCTTGTCCTAACTTTGACTAAAAACTCTTCACTCCAATATATGGAATACTGGAATATTCCAGGAAAGCTTCTAAATAAGTTCAGCAAACAGTTGCTCAATCCTTCCTTCCCTCCCTTTGGATCCCGGGTGCTGACCTGGCATTCATTCCTTGTTTGCCATGGGGAGCTCTGCAAACCAAGTTTCCATGGCAGCGCTAATCTGTGAATGCGGCTGTCTCCATCCATGGTCACTGAGGACATGCTTTGTCCTTCTGGTGTCCCATTGCTGGCTGCTCCTGGTGACAGAAAACAAGCACCTTCAGCAAACATGACCTATTGAGCTCTGCCAGGGGCCTGGGCAGTGCAGTGCAGGGACATCCTCACTCCTGGGATTTTCCACCCAGGTCTCTCAAAGGCTTCCCACCCTTAATATAGTCTGTTTTTTTTAGATGCAGGTATGACTTAAGAAAAGGTAAACCCAGCACTGCAAATCCTTTCCCATCAGCCCCAGAAATCTCTGGCAAATGGTTTCTGCACAGAAACAATGAACACAATTAAAGTCCACCACGTTCCCCAAACATCACCTAACTTATTCATTTCATGCCTAACAATCAAAGACAGTTCTTCTGGGCAGTAAAATAGTTGTTTACAAAAATTGCATAAGAGGATGACAGAGAAACGTTTCTAGATTGCACTTATTAAACTGCTAAAAATGGTACTATTTCCATTGGCTGGTTGGAAAAGTGTCTGAAATGCGTTCAAGCAGAAAAACTGTCTATTTGGAGGATATAACCTATCTATTCTTTAAAGCATAACTCTTTCCTGTCTCCCCCAGGTTTCCTTCCTTTGTTCTGGGGTACTCAAGTCTTGCTACTCACCTTCTTTTAACCAGGTTCATAAGGAGCAACACAAAGGCTGGGCACCATGTGCATGGCCTTTGTGCACTGTCAGTCACTGCCGCAGTGTTGTCTGATTTCATGTGTTTGCCCTCACGTAGCACAGAATGTTGTCACATTCTGATCATTATCTCCAAGTTCTGCAAATACTTCTCAGAAAATACAGACAGCTAAGTCCCTCACTTTGGGAAAATTCCCACTGCCACCATGCAATAGATGTTTTACCCACAATTAGCAGCTACCATCAGTGTATTTATAGGAATTCCTCTGAAATCGAAAACACAGCCTAATGGGGTATAAAAGAAAGAGAAAGGAAGTGACTTTTGGACATGGCATGCTTCTACCCCACAGAGCTGAGGTTGGACAGTGAAAGGACCCCTGGCCCAGAGTCCTGTCAGTTACTTTAATCCTGACCTGAAGAGGAACGATACTAAACACTCCACAAAAATGCTTCCAAACATTGCCATAGGAGAAAGGAAAAATGTTAACTCTGCCCTCACTGATCCAGCTCTGGTAGGGGGCAAATTCCACTTTACGTGGAGTAACATATAAACATGAAAGACATACCCTCCAGTGAAAATCTTGCACAACCTCCTAGAATGGGCAGAATTAATCACAGGGAATAATTACGGTTCTAAACAAGAATATTTATGGCATTACATAAACACCATTAAAACAAACTGAAAGGCAATAATTTTTCGAAGGAGGAAAGGAGGAAGTGTGTGTGTGTGTGTGTGGGGGGGGGGGGGGGGCCGCAAAAACCAATCAAAATTTATAGTTGAAAAGATAAAAGTTCCTATGTGTCAATCATTTTGGAAATTGTTTCTTCAGCCATCACTTGCACCTTGTTTAATTCCTTTAATAAAATGAGGAAAGAATTTTGTTTATAAAGTTAGCCAGTATTTGGAATTTAAAGCAGTTTTCCTTAAAAAAAGATTCTTTCAAACGGAAGAAGAAAAGTGGAAAAGTTCTTTCCAAAATGTTTCAACTTAAAAAAAAACAAAACAAAACAAAACAAAAAAACACCAAAAACAATTTCAAGGCATTATCATCCCAGAAACCCTCTTTTCTTCCTCCTTCCCTTTTTTCTCTTTTTCCTGAGGCAGAAAAGGATGAAGGGAAGAGGGAGTTTTCCTCCCTTGTCACTGACTGAAAAAATTAAGACAGCTGTATTATTAAATGAGAAAGTGGAAAGAGTTGCAGAGAAAGGCATTTGGGAATTTTCTTTTGCAATGTTCTTGAGGCATTTTTCTAACCAGTTCTAAGTATTAGAGCTGGGGCAAAAGCTTCCTGTGCCTTTTACACACCAGATGCTATTCTGGAAAAGTGGAGTTGCAGACGTGCCCCGCACAGTGTGGGGCTGCCTGAGCAGCAGAGTGTCTGACAGCAAGTGAGGGCACATCTGCAGATCCAGAAATCTCCTCGTCAAGTAAGCTCCTGTTACCCTCCATTGGATTCTGGTTAGACACAGGTGAAAGCAGTGCCTACATGTACCAGGAGCATGTGGAAGTGGTTTAGAATTATGCTGTTAAAAGAAAAGTTTTGTTCAAAATGCTGTTCCCTTGTTGTCTATTCAGACTTGGGCATATTCCAGCATCTAGAAATGGACGGGAGCTAGCAACACCCAGAGCCAGAAAACACATTTATCTCCTTTAAAATTCCCTCTTTAAGGAGCTGGCTTCTGGGAAATGCAGTCCAACTTCCTCCCATGCAGAGGACTAGCCCAAAAATGTATGGGGGATTTTTGAGCCAGGCAGAGCACAAGAGGCTCGTGTTGGAGGCTCATGGCAGTGATGAGGGCAGTCTGTGAATGTGCCATGGGCTGACATTCAGCAACAGGGAGTTGCTAAATGCGGATGTGCACTTGAAAACTGGATGCACTTCTGCAGTAGATTTTGTGGAAATGGTCTCCTACGGCCTCGCTCCAGATGAGCATGAAAATGTTCTCAGCTGGCTGCAAGCTGTGGGATCAATATCAAGTCTGTGATTTGCATAGAAATGCTGTAATCTAATTGATGCACATGGGCAACAGATATGCTTTTGCAAATCAGCTGTGATTACCAGGATCCCTCCTAGGAGTCACTAAACAATGTCTGGCTGCTGGGCCGCGGAACACACACAGGGCAACTCAAACCTCCCAAACAATTTTCCACTCTGCCACCCAGGCTCCATTAGCCAAACACTTGTAAAAGAGAACACGACAACACAGACAGCTTGGTTTTAGCTGAAAGGCCCAAAGTACAAAAATTCATTCTAGCCCAATTGTTTGAAAGTACAAAAACTCACATAACCCAATTGTTTGAAAATACAGAATCCCATCTAGCCCAACACAGACTGCCTCCAATTTCTCTTCTGGTGCAGCAGAACGTGTCACTTTGCATGTTGTGTTGGGGCTCCATGTTTGGGACAAGGAAGATGTGGAGCTGTTGGAGCAGAGGGGTCAAAAAGATGCTCAGAGGGATGGAGCACCTCTCCCATGGAAACTGGCTGAGGGAGCTGGGACTAGAGAAGAGAAGGCTCCAGGAATGCCGCACTGCAGCCTTTTAGTACTTGAAAGAAACTTATGGTCAGGAGAGGAGCCACCATTTTACACAGTCTGATAGCAATAGGACAAGGAGGAGTGGTTTTAGACTAAAATAGGAGAGATTTAGGTTGGATGTTAGGAGGAAATTCTTTACTCATAGATTAGTGGAATGGGTTGCCTAGAGACATTGTGGATACCCAATCCCCAGTGCATTCAGGGCCAGACTGGATGGGGCCCTGGACAATCTGATCACTGCTACCATGACACAAGTATTGGAACTAGACAGTCTTTAAGTCCTTTCCAACCCAAAGTATTCTATAATTCTGTGATTCTGTGATTATTCTTCTGAAACAAGAGATGTCCACCTGCTCCCCATTTCCCAGGCACAGTCTGAGCCCTCACTTGGGCCTGCTAGCCCGTCTGGCAAGTCAGAGGGCCAGGCATGGCTACATTTCCTGCCTCAGATTCTCCTGGTGGCAGCAGCCAGGTGCAGGGCCAGGAACATCCCTACCCCCCAGTGTGCTCATTGAGGCGTTGGGGAGGGTTTGTGCTGCTGACTTCAGTAGTCAGGCAGCATTTTTTGAGTCAGAATGATGGTTTAAGTGAGGTCCTTCCCGTGACCTTCCCATGACACTGTGCTCATGAATAACCAGGTCTGTTGCTGCCCCTCGCGCTTAATTTTCTCTGAGGAAATCTTCTGTTAAGGGGCAACAGTTTTCCATTTCAGTATACAGCACTACCCAGCTGCTTGTTATTTCACTTGGCTGAGCCTAACAAGCTAATGGTATGTTTGATTTGCACTACCAGTTCCTGCTAGAGACATCATAACTTTTATTACAGACGTGGTTCTTGTTAGAGACTCAGTTGTCCACAGAAGAAAAAAAATATGCATTTATTTCACTCGACTCACTGTTTAACTCATTATTTGCAAGCACAGCACTGGCAGGGATCATGCTATCAGCTGCATTTCTTTTTAGTGTCCTTCACCGTTTCTACAGCAAACAGGGAAATCGTTCTGGCTGTTCTCCTTCCAGCTGCTTTGATATGCGCTGCCATTGCTGTCCCAAACCCTGGGAGGACAATCACGTTTCTGATTGCTACATCATTTGCTGTAAACTTTCTTAGAGCTGAGCAGTTAGACCCAGACTGACAGTTGCCATGGGGAAATAGGGATACAGAAGGAAGATAAACAAGAATACATTGAATTGGACTTAGCTCAGTGCAATATTTCTGCCTTGGTTTAGTCACTAGTAAAGAAAGATGGTATTCACACACATCATCACACCACAGCCTTTTGTAAAATAAACCTCACTGAAAGACAACATGTAAAGCAAAACGTAAGTATGTGCATTTTGTTGGTTTTTCCAATGAGCCAGAGTAGAAATCGTTAAGGTTGGAAAAGACCTCTAAGATCATTTAGTTCAGCTGCCCACCTACCACCAATATTGCCCACCAAACCATGTCCCTTAGTACCACATCTCCCCTTTCTTTAAACACCACCAGGGATGTGACTCCACCACTCCCCTGGGCAGCCTGTTCCAAAACCTCACCAGGGTTTGTTGTGTACAGGTCCTCCATTGTGAGGTATCAATTTGCAGTTTTATCAAACATTGTGAATTTCAAATGCATAACATACTCTGAAAGCTGCTGAACTTTTGGTCCTCAGGGCATCCAGCCTGAGGAGCTTTTCTTCCCATCTTTGAAGTCACAGAACTCATAAAGCTGAGCAAAACTGTTTGTGAGTTTGTTTTCCGTCCATATCTCTCTCTTGCTTTAAGACCAGACAGAAGATGACATTATTAGCAGGCTGCTCACAAGCACCTAGCTGTTTAGGGGCAAGCTTTTTACTTCTGCTTTCAAGCAGAGATGAAAGATTGTAAAAACCTCTCTTTTTTTTTTTTTTCCTAAGGGAATTACAGCTCACAAAAGTTCTTATAACTCCTTACAGCAGCTATTTTACTACTCAGAGAGAATATTTACTGGGTCACTTTCTTCCTGCAGCAGGCCTCAGTGTTAATAAACGGTGTCTGTGAGTTACTTTATGCTCTTCATACTTTATTTTGATCTAGCTGTGTGTTTAAGGAGCTAAAGAGAGTGTGTCTTGATGAACTGCTTACACCAGAGCCTTGCTCTAGGCCAAAATGTAGAGGGCTTTTTTTTTTTTTTTTTTTTTTTTTTTTTTTGGTGAGTTTTTGTAGGTGCACTGAAATCTGAAAAGCAGGGCACCCTGCCAGTGTTACTCTGTGAGTCTGTTAGCTGCTGCTCACTCAGCACTCACATCTGTCTTCACTAAGCCGGGACAGACCCCAGCACCCTGAGCACAGCACGCTCCAGAGCCACTTACAGACTGCAGAGCTGGGGGAGCCTGTGCCCCACGCCCCCCCCCAGGGCCAGGAGGATGTAGCCAGCAGGAACCCGGAGCTGGGCTCTCTATGAGCCTTGCATCCTGTTCAAAAGGTCATGTAAAATACAGCAGAGAGTCTTTTTTTTTCAATTTCCAAACAAGCAGTCAGATGATTTTAGTGAAGGATTCAAACTCAAAGTG